TGCCCAGGGGCTTCCATTGTTCCTGGACCGGGTTCCATTCGTCTTGAGCATCTTCCCTCGTTCCTGGACCAAGTTCCATTTGCTTTGGATCTCTTCCATTGCCTTCAGATCAGACCTGCAGCCTACCCTGATTCGTTTCCATCATACTCCCAGCCGGTCTACGGGAATATGTTCTCAACAGCCTTGAGTTACATGGAACCCTCACTCCTCATGGTCTTCCATTAACGTCATAGGGTTGCCGATTCGGAGTTGATGGAGCTTGTCGTCCGAAGGTCTGTGGAAGTCATATCTTCTTGCTCCATGGAAGCTCCGCAGCCTGATGGAAGTCCTTACCTTCGAAATTAAAATCCTTTTGGACTTGGGGTCCAACAATTGCCCTCCTCAAAAAAGAGATGAGATGTGAGCTACATAAAGCTTTGCTCTCTTTTTTGGGAACTCCTTCGTACTGGATTTACTTTCGTGGGCCTTAACACAAAATTTATCCCATCTTGATATCTCACGTAAAACCCTTCAGCCTTGATGTGACAGTAGCTTTCTTTGATTCCCGCGTCATCTAAGAAAGAAAAGACATCCAAGGGTTTTTCTTGAGGGTTTAACGTCACTTCCCCTTTTCCACTTCCCTTCATCTCGTTTCTTCTTCCACTCCTCCTTCGAAGGTTTTATCTTGTTTGGTGGACGTGAGCGTCAAGCTGTATGGCTTCTTCGATAGGCCTTCCTTCCGGTAGTGTAGTTGAACCTTCTCCACTAACGGTGGTCCCGAGTCTGATCCGCTACTCGATGCCGATCGAGGAACTTTTGCGCCCGTCCGATGATGGGAATTCGTGGGTGTTGACGCCGGCGGCGGAAACAGATCTCCAAAAGGAGAAACTCCAACGAGTCCTCACCGGCGACGGTGCATCCCCCTTGTTGATCGCGAAACTATTTTACTCGTTGGCCCTTCGACAAGGAAGGGTCCTGACCAGATATCCCGACGGCGCGACTTTCAAAGAATGGACGACGACCCTCGGCGGTGCGGTCGACACCCAATGGGAAGCTTAGGGGATTGACGACATGATCACCGTTAGCACACAGGTTTCTCATCCCCATCCCGACCTCCTTTTTGTGCTCTTGGGCTTTTGGTGTCCGGCAATGAACGGATTTTGTTTTCCTTTCGGCATGGTTTCACCTACATTACTTGACATTGCGGTGTTGTTAGGTCTCCCTGTAACAGGGGATGACTATGCTTTGTTCCCTCCCCCATCGAACGCCGTAGATTTTGGTATAGACTATTCGAAGTCTAGCTCGAGTGCCCTGCTTTATGGAAAGTATGGTGCGCCGAGCTCCAAAACCAACTTGCTAGACAAAACCATAGGACTTTCTTGATGCTCTGGGTGAATCGTTTTTTCATAGGCGCAGCTGGTAGGATTTTAGTTAGAGAATATGAGCCCTTGGTAGCGTTGATAATGTAGGGTGACAATTTGGCGCTTGCTCAGTTCTTCTTAGGGCATTTGTATCAAACCCTTAATGATCTTCATACCCGTCTGAGTCGTGAGGAACGCGTATCCACTCAGAGTGGATCCTTGTGGTTTCTTCAGCTTTGGGTTGCTTATATGTTTCCAGAGCTATTTGACATACCGTAGCAGTTCCAAATTCCGAAGGAAGATCGTATCGGCGTGTTTTTAGCTGGATTTGAGTGCTCCCGTAACGCTTTCCAAATTGCTGAATTTTTCTTGTCATCAAGTAATCATGAGGATGCACGATTCTTCCCTTTACCGGAGCGATCTCATGGACCTGATTGGTTCTCTAAACCCCCGCCGATGAAAGAAGATGATTCCTTTGATTGGTCTTCCATTACTTCATCATGGAGTCAGGTTCTAACCGCAAGGCCCTTGTTGTTGGGTCTAAGGCCTACATTTCGTTCTTTACCCGTTGGGGTGAAGGGTTACTTCCCGAAGTTGTATGCACGCCAGTTTGGACTCCAACAGACTGTCCTGATGTACCGTTTCCATTGTCGAGGGCCCTTCCCGCTGGTGATGAAGGACATAACCTCTGAAGGCCTTGATATGTTCCGAGGCCTGAATACGGCCATTGAGGACTCATCCCTTCCTGTTTTTGAAACCAATCCTTCTATTGATTCGGAATTTGCGAGCTGGTGGGCGTCCTTAAAGGACATTCTTTTTGCTGAACCCCCGGCTTCCTGGTTATGCCGTTTTATCGATACTAATTCTGACCATCAAAGTGAACCAGCTGAGATTGCTGCCGAGGAGGTTGAAAGTGTGGCCCTTGAGATCATCGAAAGTAGACTGTCATCCCCTCATTTAGCTTTGATCGATAAATACCAGCTAATCTTTGTTTGTGTTTGCAGTGACGGATTCCTTCCCCGTACGTCGATCGACTCGACATGCCAGAGTCAGAGCCGCTGCCCCAAAGCCTTCAGAGAAGCGACGTGCGACTATCTCTCCCAATACGCAGGTTTATATTAATCTCCATGTAATTTCTAAAAACTCTTCATGATTTTATTATTCGTATATGTCATTGTCTCCAACCTGCTAAGAAGGTGTACAAAGGTGTTGATGCAACCCCTACGGCTAGGACTACGGCTTATACTACGGTGAATCCCCCTGCGAAAGCTCATCCACCGAAAACGTCTATGTCAAAGGTACTCTCATCACCCGAGTTGCATTCCTTCTCATGCTCATATCAAAATGTTATTTGCTAACATCTTTTATCAGCATGCACCTTCGAGACCATTGGATAATTCCTTCCCACCTCCAGACCTTACTCCAGCTACACCTCGTGCGGGTCGTATTACTTCCGATTCAACTATCATTCAAGAGCGTATTCGGGAATATTTCATTGGGCATCAAGGTCCGACGTTTACCTCTGCATTGGCTAGTCAACTCCCCGAAGGGATGGATGAACAGTTCATTACTACCTATTTGGAAGCTTCCCCTAGGGATTCTGAAACCTTGAGTTCTATCCAATTGGCTTTACTGAACTTGGCGGAATCCTCTTCCTATGCAAATCTTCCCGAGTCTATTCGTGCGCAATGGGTCGGCCTATCTTCCAAAGTGAACACTTTCGCTCAACGCCGGAGGATGGAAGAGGAGAACCGAGACTTCGGAAGGACGCATTTGGATCAACTGGGAACATTAAGGGACCAGAAACAGTCTTTGCAGGACGAATTTTCACATACTGAGGATGAGGCTTCCAGTGCTTCAAACCGGCTTGAAGCCTCTCGTGCTGAATAGCTAGCAAAGCAGGCCGAAGTGGCTCGTCTCCAAGCTCGGCTCGCCCAGTTAGGCCCTGAAATTGCGGACTTGGAGCGGCTGTTGGCGGGGAAACATCGAATAAAAGCTGATCTATACAAGAAGTCCCAGCGTTTCGATGCCCCTATAGCCGCTTTGTCGCAGAAAAAGGTCCTGTATGAGTTTAATGCTGCCAACGGGGAAGCAACTTTGAAGGAGCTAGAGTTGGAATGGGGAACCCTGGTCTCTTTGTGGGCAGTTTGTAAACCTTCAGCCCAGGTATTCTCTTCACCCTCACCAAGTTCTAATGACGAACGTGCAAGGGGTATACCACCCTCTACCCCCGTGGCTAACAATCTCATGGTTTCCAAAGCTGAACCTCCATTGCAAGCTGTTGCCGACGTCCAAGCGTCTATTGCTCACGTTATGAGGGATTTGATGTCAGCTTTAGAAGTGGCAGCAGATCATAATGCCTCCGAATCACCTTCAACTTCAGCCGTTCCCACCTCCGAGGAAGCAACAATGATCCCGGAGGGCTTGGCTCCAGCGGGTGTAGCTTCGAGCCCCAGTGGAACAGCCTTGTCTTCGGAGGGTCTTGTTTCTGCAGGTGTGAATCCAATCGTTGATGGAGCAGCCCCGACCCCGGACATTTCAACTCCAGTGGAAGCAGCGCCAGTTCCTGGTGGAACAGCTCCGGCTATGGAGAATCCGATTCCGCCTTCGATAGATCCGATCCCCGTGGAAGTAGTTCCAAGGCCTAATGGACCGGTCCCAGACCCGGAAAATCTGATTTTAACTCCAACGGGTCCATTTCTTATGAAAGCAGTGCCAGGCCTTGATGGAACAGCTCCATTTATGGAAGGTCCGACCCCAGTCCCAATGGAAGCGACACCTGATCCTGATAACCCCGAGCCCGCTGTGGACCCAGCAGCAAAGGAAATTCCTCCCACCGGGTGGTAACTTTGGGAATCATCCGCCTTTCTTCGAATCACCCGCAGTTTCATTTGGAATTTATGATCTGCTACTCATTTAACAATTTACGATGACTTATTTTCGTTTTATGTTCTGTTTGCACATTAGCGGCTTGCTAGCCTGCTTTCATTTTGCATATTAGCGGCTTACTAGCCTGCTTTCGTTTTGCATACTAGCTGCTTAATAGCCCGCTTTTATTTTACACATTAGCGGCTTAATAGCCTGCTTTCGTTTTGCTTTATATCTAGCGGCCTAAATAGGGCTTGCTTCCATTTTGCATATTACACTTCTTTATCCAAGCTCGAGTGGCGACATGTATCCCTTAAGGTGCTTAGCATTGATAACATTTCTATGTTCTATCCTATCAATACTCATCAATCTATAAGCACCGTTAGGCAACACTTTACTCACTTGATACGGACCTTCCCACGTAGGAGACCATTTCCTGAATGTATTGTCTTTGAATCCCTCGGGTAGCACTGCCTTCCATACCAAATCTCCTTCTTGGAATGTTCGCCGACGTACCTTCTTGTTGTAGGCTCGCGCCACTTTTATTTTATTTGCCCTGATATTTTCCAGAGCCATCATCCAATCCTCGTGTACGTCATCCAATCTTTGTAACATCGCTGTATCGTACTGCTCGGGACTAAGCGAATTCTGCATCAACACTCGTAGCAATGGCACCGTGATTTCCAACGATAATATCGCTTCTTGTCCGTAAACCAGTTGGAATGGAGTGCAACCAGTGGCTTTATTTCAGTATTGCCTGCAAGCCCATAAAGCCTCCCCTAACGCTACGTGTCATCTTCTCGGGTTATCTTCTACGGCCTTTTTGATTACCCCAATTAAGACTTTGTTGGATGCTTCGGCCTGCCCATTTGCCTGTGCATAATACGGGGACGAATAGAAAAGAGCAATCCCATATTGTGCGGCGAAGGCGTCCACTCTATCGCTGGTAAAAACAGTGCCTTGATCGGCGGTAATCGTTTGTGAGATTCCATATCGGTGGATAATAAACTCCTTAACGAACTTGATCACTTCCTGATATGTCACATTGGCCAACGGCACAGCTTCTATCCAGTTTGTGAAATAATCCGTGGCCACCAATATAAACGAGTGGCGTCTGGAAGATGGCGGATGGATTTTCCCGATGATATCCATCGCCCATCCCTGGAATGGCCATGGCTTCACCACTGCGTGCATTTCTTCTGCCGGAATTCGGATCAAAGAACCATGTCGCTGACATGCTTCACATCCTTGGGCGTACTTGATGCAGTCTTCTGTCATTGATGGCCAAAAGTATCCATATCGTCGGATCGTCCATCTCATGACTAGCCCAGATTTGTGTGCTCCACAAATTCCTTCATGCACTTCACCCATCACCTTCATGGCTTCTTGAGTATCTACGCATCTCATTAACATTCCATCGGCGGCTCTGCGGAAAAGATCTCCGTCAATCAGAGTATACTTCAGAGCCTCTTTCCGCATCTTTTCTGGAGTTTCACCGGTTGGTTGTTCCAAATATTTCCTTAGTTCCATACCCCAATCCTCCACTTCCACTGGGCACAGACATACTCGCCCTGACTTAAAGTTTCCTGCGGCAGATGGCTTATACCCAGAAGCTTTTTGAGCAAAATCATTAGCTATTTTGTTTTCAGCTCGAGGTATGAATTCTACCACCACATTATCAAATATTTGCAGCATCCTAACTGCTTCCATTCGAAGATTTCTCATTTTCTCATCTTTGCATTGGAACTCTCCAGCAATCTGCTTCAAAATTAATTGTGAGTCGCCTTGAATTCTGATCGCCTTGGCTCTCTTTTCATGTAGAATTCTCAATCCAACTAATAAGGCTTCGTGTTCTGCTTGATTATTAGTAAATCCGGGTGCCAATGCCCTGGCAACGGTCCACTTTTTTCCCCAGGGGCTCTCAATGAATACCCCAGCTCCAGCGCTAGTCTGAGTGTTGGACCCGTCGAACTTCAAGATCCACGGCATCGGACTAATAACAGCTTCCATACGATCAGCCGCTTGGTCAGCCACCGAGCTCGGATGATCTGCTAGAAAGTTAGCAACGACTTGTCCCTTAACAGCTTTGATTGGAACATATCGTAAATCAAATGCAGCTAGCTTTACAGCCCATTTCACTTGCCTTCCCCTTAAAGCTGGCCTGCTTAATAGATATCTCAAAATATCGACGTGACTTACCACTTCCGTTTCCCTCGGGGCTAAATAATATTCAAGTTTCGTGCAGGCGTAAAATAATGCGAGACATAATTTTTCCATAGGAGTGTACCTAGTCTCTGCATCATTCATTACCTTACTGAGGTAAAAAATGGCACGTTCGCTTCTATCGGGAGCCTCTTGTGCCAGTAAGCAGCCAACCGAATTCTCAGTGGCTGAAACATACAAACGCAGAGGTTTGCCCTCATGTGGCGGCATCAACACCGGTGGATTGGCCATCGTTTCCTTAATAGCTTCGAAAGCCTGCTGGTGTGGCGGCTTCCACACAAACTCCTCTGTTTTTCGCAACTTGAGCAGTGTGGAAAAAGCTTTAAGCTTGCCTGCAGCGTTCGATACAAATCTTTGCAGAAAATTGACCTGCCCAAGGAATCCTTGAACTTGTTTCAGATTTTCAGGCGGTCGGGCGTTGATGATGGCTTTTGTTTTGTTAATATTCACCTCAATGCCCTTATTATGCACCATGAAACCCAAAAAGTTTCCAGAGGCCACTCCGAATGCGCACTTCGCTGTATTCATCTTCAAGTTATAGTGCCTCATTCGCCGGAAGGCTTGCTCGAGATCCACCAGATGCTCCGGAAAACTCTTGGATTTCACCACTATGTCGTCGATGTAAACTTCCACCGACTGTCCAATTAAATCGTGGAATATGGTGTTCATCGCTTGCTGGTAAGTCGCTTCAGCATTTTTAACCCAAACGGCATCACCACCCATTCGTACACTCCAAGGGCTCATGGGCATCGGAATGCCGTTTTTGCAACATCCTCCTCGGCTATGAAAATCTGATTATAGCCGGAATACCCATCCATAAACGACAAACTCCGGTTCATGGCGGCTGCATCTACTAATATGTCGGCAACAGGGATGACGTACTCATCCTTGGGTGTTGCCAAATTCAAATTGCGATAATCGACGCATACCCGTAATTTGCCATTTTTCTTGAGTACGGGGACGACATTGGCCACCCATTCCGGGTATCGACAAGTCCGAATGAATCCTGCTCCCAACAGCCGTTGGATTTCTTCCTTGATCTTCGGGTATACATCTGGATTAAACCTTCGCGGCGGCTGCTTGTGGGGTTTGTATCCGGTTTTTATAGGTAGCCGATGTTCCATAAGTTCTCGAGCCAAGCCTGGCATTTCATCGTAATCCCAAGCGAAACAATCCCGATATTCCTTTATAAGTGTCACCAAGGCAGCTAGATATTTTGATGTTAACAGCGCACTAACTTTGGTGACTCGCGGGACTTCATCGACACTGAGGTCAACATCTTCCAGCGGATCTTGGGCCTGGAATGCTGGATAAGTTTTGTGCATGGGCGACGGTAACTTTACTTCACCGACAATTTCCTTGTATGATTCCCGGTCGCCGCTGAACTTTCCTCTAAGCTGCTCCGTTTCTTCCACGGATTCTGCTTTGGCCGGCTCTGGATGTTGCGTAAGAAAGCCTGTTTCAGGCGGCCCAGGGTTTTCCAAGGGACCGGCTCTAGACGGCTCCGAATTCGCCACAGAACTTGTTTCGAACTGCTCACCACCTTCTGTGGAACCTGCTCTGAACAGCCCTATATTCGTAACAGAGCCTGCTCCGTGCGGCTCAAATTGAATTTCGACGCATTCGAAATTCATCATAGTCCTCTTCATTCGTAGGCCGTGGATCGGCCCTCGCTTGAATTCTGAATTGATTATCACTGAACACACATTCATAATTTACCTCGTTAGGCATGGAGGCGATTACTTCAGACAACGGGATCATCTTCGAATAGTAGAAAGTTGCATCTACAGCTGTGACTTCCGCTGCGAAGGGGTCTTTCTTCGCCTCCACTTCTTGAACCTCATCGTCATCCCAGAACAACAACTTCTGGTGCAAAGTCGACGGTACACACTCGCAAGCATGAATCCAGTCTCGCCCTAATAATGCTGCATACGAAGGGCGACTGTCTATTATTACGAATGTTGAGGGCAACTTATTGGTGCCTACTTGTACCTCAATGGTAGCGATACCCGCTGTTTTTATGAATTTCCCATAAAATCCGTAGCTCGCACCGAAGTTGGTATTAAATCATCCCTTGTTTTTCCTAACTTTCTGAACGTCCGAAACGGCATTACATTAGCGAATGCGCCACGTCTTTCAACACTCTGCCCATTGGTCGTCCCTCCATTAAAGCTCGAATGTACAGGGGCTTTACATGTTTATTCTGCCCAGATCCAATCCGATCAAACTTGATTGTTGTCACTACATGGTTCCATTCTGCCGCTGGCTCTTCATCTATGGTCACTCCCTCATAATTCTGCTCCCCTTCTGGAGCTTTGAACTCATACGGCAATACTCCCACAACCGATAGATTACCACCTTCAGCATTACACTCCTTCGACTGTGTAGTTTTCGGTACCCATCGGCGTTGCCAGTTTGGAGTGGGTCTGGCGCTTGGCGTAGAGAAAATCAGGCGATACAACGCTTGATTTTGCTGAGGTCTTTCCTTCTGCTCACGGGCTTTCGAAGTTTCTTCATCCTGACTTGCTGCTTGTTGAATTTTCGATTCAATTTTCTTGCCTTTAGCCCCTGCACTTTTCTGGTTTGGATGAATTCCTTCAGCTTCCGACTTAGCCTGTAATCGTTTCCTTTGTGCCCTTCTTTTTTGGAAATGTGTGAGGTCGCCCATTGCCTTCCTGGCATTTGTCTCCGGCACATTAACTGTCCACTTCTCCGAATCTACGGCTGATGGAGGCTTTCGTGTTGTTCTTGGAGTAATTGTAATCTGATCAGCGGATGTAATGGTCTAAACTCGTTTCCCGCTAGCAACTTTTACCTCAGCCATCGTGGCATCCGGCTTAATAGTTGAGTCTGAAGCTGTGGCTTTAATCGTCATATTATGACGCTCCCGAACTTCCCGGGCATTTGGAATCGTCACTTTCAAGTTAGGATTCCTCTCTATGACCCTAGGTTCCTTACTTCTGACATTTCCATTAGGCATCTTTCTCACAAACAGCCTATCGAATACCAAACTCCGTTGTGGAATCCTAGGCCCGAGTCGCTCATGAACCGGTTGCCGAACCAGTTGCTTTCCTTTGTTCTGTCTCTTAAGACCTCTTGTAGACATGGAATTAATGGACGGTGCAGGAAACGGATTCGCATCCACCTGCATACTCTTTTCTGCTAGCTTCAATCTGCCCTCGTCTAAGGCCCTCTGAATCGTACTTGGTAGGTACGTACAATTGGCGGTAGCATGTGTATAACTCCCATGCCACTTGCAGTACACTTTCCCTTTCAGTTCCTCTGGTGACGGCACTCGCTACCCATCTCGGAGTTTGATTTGTTTGTCCTTCAGCAGATGATCAAAAATCTGTTCTACTTTAGACACATCGAAGGTATACTGCACGCCTTCGACCTCCTTACCCCTTGTAGGTTTTAATGCCGAACAGGAGTAAGTTTTTCCTTTCAACAATTCAGCCGCTAACACATCTTGTTCCTCGCCATAATCTTCGTCGGCTGAACTTTCATCATCCACACAACAAGTTATCCCTGCTTTTCCATCTTTCTTCCACCTGCCTACAACAGCATCCCGTCTCTCTCGAATGAGCTTTTCTGTTCTCATTACGAGTGCACTTAGATGCGAAAAATCCTGGAAATCCTAAACTCCCAGCTGATTTCGAAGATCTGATCGCATGTTATCTACTGCCATCGCGGTTGCTTACTGTTCGGGGATCTACACTGTGCATCGTGTCTTAGCTTGTCGAAACCTCTCCAAAAATTGTGCCACTGGCTCATCATATCCCTGTTTTACGGCTACTAGGTGGGATATTGTAGTCTCCATTGGTGGCGCATAAAAACGGTCGTGAAAAAGCCTCTCCAAATTCGACCAAGACTGCATAGTACCTGGAGCCAACGATGTATACCACGAAAACGCAGTACCTGTCAGGGATAAAGAAAACAATTGTAAACGATACCAATCATTTCCTCCCAAATCTCTGCACTGAGCTGTAAATTTCCCGATATGCTCTATCGTTGATCTCCCATCTTCGCCTGAGAAGAGTATAAAATCCGGCACTTTATTTCGAACAGGCAACGACATCATCTCACTTACCCAAGCTGAGTAGGGTCTTTGATACACCGGTCGCTCTTCAAATTTCATTCGTGGGAAAGCTCTTCGGATGCTTTCCACTAGAATATCCGTATCTATTAATGGTTGGGCCTCCTGCTGAATAGGAATCAGCGGCTGCCGTCCTGGTCCCCAAGCTTGACCAGCCATTCCTCCCTGAGGGACAGCGGCATATGGAGCCTGCTGAGCCCACGGCACTGGAGGTGCGTTCCAATTAGGCTGTCCTGCGACCTGCCCTGGCGGTGCTGTCCCTGGATAGGCTCCGTAAACACCGCTTCCTACGACATCTTGTCCTCCTACCATTTGTGGGCCACAGCCTCCGCTGGGTTGCCCTCCTTGTGGGCGTTGGAGAATCGTCACATTACCGAATTGCAATCCTACTCCACTCGTCGGTCCCCTAGGCGATCCAGTGTTTCCCCGAACCAAGTTGGAACCGACGTTTCCTATGAGGGATGGAGTCCCTCCAGCAGATGGAGTTATTCCTCTCGGACCTCCATATGTATTTCCTAGAATTCCAGAATTCTGGATTCCACTGGCCGCTGCTCGACGTTCCTCTTCGCGAATCTGAAATGCTTCATTCCTCACAGTTGGCCGGATCACATCAGCCAATTGCCTAGAAATTTCGTACGCAATATCCCCGATTCCGGCCTGAATACACTGATTCACTTCCCTGCGTACCATG